GGGGTTACCTGACACGTGCATAATTAATGCCCGACACTGGCGCGCGCGGGAGTTATCTGTGCGGACGAAAATAAAATAGGAGAAAGTCGGGCTCTCGCGAACAAGAGAGAGAGAGAGAGAGAGAAAGACACGCGTCGGAAGAAAGGTGGAAGCGATTCTTGCCGAATGGATACCGAGGAGAACGAAGGGAAAGATCGAGAGAGGATCGGAGGGAGGCGAGCAGGAAAGTTGTCCAAGTAACCGACGTGGAAACGCGAGGTAATGACTACTTTTTCATATTTTAATTACGCAGTAATTAATTGAAATGTTTCCTCGTTCGCGAGGGCACTCGAGCAAAATGAGAGGCGAGTAACTCCGCGGAGTCGGCTTCGGCTCGTTTTTTCTCTCTCTCTTCCTCTCTTTCTCTCGCTTCCCTTTCTTCCGCGGAACGCTGGTCCCCTCTGTCTCTCTGTCCGCGTTCGCCACTCTCCTCCTAACCCCCCCATCCCGCTGGCCCCGGCAATTTTTCCGTTTCCTTCCGTTCTTTCCTACCCTTTCTCGCGAAATTAGGTAGAAACCTTTTCACCGGGGCTCTGGCGCGCTCCTCTTCCCTTTTTTAAAAATTCCAGCGTGCGGCTAATTGTACCGCTAATAGGTTTAACGTGAAAGGATTTCACTCTGATAGCCTGACCCCGCGCGCCACGTCACCGACCCACCCACCTCCCCCCTATTATCGACGCGCGTGGTGCTTAAAGTAGGTACTAATTAAATTAGTTTCGTAAAAGCGAAACTCGTCGGCCAGACTTTCGAGGCTATCGATTCGCCGCGATCATTAAAATAATTACGGATGTTCCGCCGGTAATTGCACGGGTACCTACCCGGTTCGTTTCGTAGATATCCGATGATAAATGTTCGTAACGGGAATTTGGAATAATTGCGAATTAAGAATGGTACAAGTGATGTCGATCGACGGAGAAAATTCGAGGGATTAAACGGTCGATAAGCATATCGAGCTATCGTTGGAGGTTGGAAGGTATTCGTGTGGTTTTCCAGCGAGTTAATCTTCAGTGGTTTTTCTTCTCTCTGTTTCGTGGAAGGTTACGCCAGCCCGTGGTTCCGGGGACCGTTTCGGGCTAGCTGTCTCGATACCTCGAGAGTCTGGAAGGATGCTTCGTTACTCGTTATCTGACGCTGAAGCTCGTTGCGGTTCTAAGGGAACAATAGGTTGACGAGAAGCTCGAAGGAGACGGAGAGAGATAGCCAAAACGAGGACTGGTAGCGCGCGCTTTTGTTACCGTGGATGCTTGCTACGTGCAATTGTCATCTACTTGTTCCAGCCATTGTTTCCGGTAACTCTTTCGCGGTAACGAGAAGGAACCTCAATTAGAACGGTTTGAGGACTTAAACGCCCAGAGGCTGCCGGGTTTTAAGAGGCAAGAACGCACCAACACCGTTGCGGGAACATTGTTTCCTTTTGAGCGATAACTCGGTGATACTTTTAGCTGTATCGGTGCAGGCTTGCACTACCTATATCGTCGTCCACCGACTTTCTTCCCCGAGATAATTATTAGGCACGCTCGAGGGTGTCATACCATTACGCTCTCTACAGACGAGTCTTCGTTAACGTTGCCACACAAGTTTCGTCCGTGTAAATTGAATCAACAGTATTTTTGGCAACTGGCACGGCACCAACTATCTAGGTAAATAGTTAGATTCAGTTTCATCCAGATTGCACAAGATTGGCAAAATTATCGAAGAATTTTAATTGCTTTTAAACTATCGTTCGATAACATAGTAGCTATAACACCGAGCTGTGTTGACCAATCAGCCGCGGTTCGATCAATTGTGGGTAGATGAATAATAGAAACGCGTGGCTCTACCTTTCAGCTGGTATCCTGGTGGGCAAACAAGGCCGTGCTTTGAACCTCAAATTCAAATAAATCCTATTATATACCCCTTTAACATTAACGAACTCTACAGTGAAAGCTTCCAGCTAATAAAACTTCTATTTAAGCCCCTTTACCATTCTCGATACACCTATACGCCTATCCTACAGAACGGAGGATAGAACCTATTGCTGCTTATTTCGTTCTAAATAGGCGTGCCGACCCTTTCGATTCCGAGCCACTTGTTCAGACATTAATGGCACGAAAAATAAGCGATTTCGCGACGCGTCGGTGGAACGGAATCAATATTTGTTTCATCGGGGAGCGGGCACAGAGAGGTGTGCCACGTATACACTCTATGCATACATATAGCTACGCTCCGTTATCGGAAATCCATTCGAATATCTGGAATTTTTTTCGGCGGTATGCGCGGCCTGTTTCATGATCGCCTGTGATACTCGCTTGAAATTAAGATGTACAGAAGACGTGTGCGGTGTACCTAATAAAAAAAGTAACAAACTTCGACGGAAGAAGAAACATCGTATCTTGCACCTCGTTTCGATGCTTCTTCTTTCATCAAACTTTTAATCGATACCGAAACATCTTTCGAACTGAAAGTATCTTAGGTATTTACGTAGGTATCTATTCACATTGGCAAATCGAAAATTTCCCTTTGCTTTCTTCGAACCTGTTCTTCCTTGAAATAAAAGTCTTCGATTCCTTTCTTCGTTCGTCTCTTAGAAATCGTAGAAAACACGAGGAGCGTGACGAGTGTTTAAATCGTTACTAACGTCCTGTTATCCTATCTGGAGTGGAACACGTGTTCCATAGAACGAATCCATGGCCTGGAATAACAGGATGGGGACGTAATTCGAAAGTTATGAGGTCCTGGTGGCGCGAATGCTTCTGGCGCCATGCGGTTGACGAGTGACAGGACGTTGACGGAGAACGTCGCGAGCTTCCTCCAAGGGAGAACGAAGGAATCCTTCCGTTCGATCGACGGAGAGGAAAATTCCGTCTTACATGGGGTCCTGTTCGACGGAATGCTTGACGTTCGCAAGCTCGAGGATCTTCAAGGGGATCTATTCGACTTCGAAATGCTCGTTCGCATGATATCCTAGTGGCATTGGATGTTTGTAAGATACAAGCGCATGTCGTCGCCGCGTTGACGGATGCAACGCGCGTTCGCTTATCGGGGAACGTTGTTTTCGGGGCTACTGCCGATCAATGGACGTGGTTTCCAGGGCTGTAGCAACCTTCCAAGTAGCAGCCTTTAAGGATACGAAAACACTGCGATTTTTTCATTTTCCGCTGGTATTTTTCAAGGTATCGTCGAGAAACTTTGAAATACGACGAGTTTAATAGTTCTTTAAACGAGAATCGAAAGATGGGAGTAATTTACTAAATTGAAATATTTCCTCGAGATTGGTACAATCCTGGTGGATTGATTGTTGTGGAGTTATACGTGCCTAATGCATCTGTGGCTTTGGTAAAAAAATTCTTCTTCGGTGTGTGCGTATGTAAATATGTATACATATGCGATGGTGAGGGAGTATGTGGTTCATTTTCAATGCATACTCGTGACGTCCGTAAAGGATAGGATTGCAGAGGTTCCAGTAGGATAATGTCGAGGATCCAGGACATCGTTGCGTATCCTGTGCGCTTCCTTCTATCCTGATACTCGGGCTTATTTTGTCTTTTGAAGTCCTTCTAATAGCTCGGTAAATATGTAAACACACGCGTCTTTATCTTTCACAGATAAGCTTGCAAGGAGTATGTACTACGATACGTATAGGCCATACGAACGTTTCGTTCGGTATTCGATGAAATGTTACAAGTATGTTAATGAAATCATTTAAATCATTCGAAAGCTTGCGACAGATAAGTTAAAAAACAGTTTCGAGACATCGGTTACAAAGTTACCATCGTTCTTAAAGATTACCTTCTCCGAGAACTGTTGTCCTGAGATTGTCGCAAAGATTCCTGTGCTTAAGTATCATTTCAGGATTCGTCTTGCAATTCACCTTAAACCCACCTCGAAACTTCCTTGCGATCTACCTCCGTTCGAAGCTACTTTCCTAAACTCCAACTTCCTGTTTCCTTCCGGTGTCTTCGGGAAAAAGAATTTTTTCCTTCAAATGTAACGTATATACCGTTTGCCGTACATAGTCCATTCATATATACTTGATCAAACTCTCGACAATACGACCAAACTGCATATCGTAATTATCGACCTCGCGAATAATTCTCGTTAATGACTCGATGATGGTTACACAATTCGTCTGGTGTGCTCTCCTAATACCAAAGACACCAATTGTAATGTTACAAATGTGCCTTTTCAAAAAGGCAACAGTCTTATTAACTGCGAGATACGGTAGACGGGATTTCATCCTTGGCAGGAAGTCCTGCGTACGTTCCACAATCTCGCGTCACCTGTCCTATCCTATATGTCCTTGATCCGGAAATATGCTTCGCGTTTGAAGCAATTATCCCTATTAGCGTAGGCGTGTGATATCCTTAATCCAACTTTATCCTTCCCGTGACAAGGAGCTGTTCACTTCCACGTCGGGATACTAGCCGTGGTGCAATTTCCAAGCAAACCAGCTGACGTGCCGTCTACGTCATCCCTGATCCTACTCCTTGCAGCTTCGCTAACGATAACTTCAATTACAAGTTTAAAGGACTCTAACGATTAATGCTAACGTTACAGTAGTTAAAGGAACAACACAATTTTTCATCGTAGTTTATTAGCACGACGAATTTTTTTTACACGAAAGAACGTTACAATTTCTGGACGAAATCGAGTTGAAACGGTTAAATACGTTAAAAAATCCATACGTGATGTCGGCAGCTGTGACGTCGCGAAAACGAGATGCCTCGTGTGCCAGGATAACAGGACACATCGGGAGCATCCCATTTTCCACCCTCGCAGAGGGTGAAACAGCGTCGACAGTCGACTTAAATGAAGCTATACTTGGGCTCACAGGTGCATACGTTGCTCAACACTTTGGAAATTGGTTCGCCGTCGGGTTCGTATTCAATGTCCATTGGATCGATCTCAGGTGGAGGTCTTGGTATCCTCGATTGCCAGGAAGGAGCTGCACGCATTAGAAACGCTTCTACTTTTTCTCGAACGACTCTTTCCTCCTGGTTAGCGTCGATTTTTATCGCAGATTCGCCAGCATACTTCATCATGTCGATCACATTTTCGTCGTATTCCTGGAGCTGTAGTTTTTCCATCGATTAAAATTCATTTCTATGCGAATTCTACCGATTCTAATCACGGTGATCCGCTCGTCCTTACATCTCGTTCGACGATCAATCTGTAGTCCTTAGGATGAACACCTAATCTACAATCGTCTTTATCTACGTACTTTCTCGTAGACAAATTATGCTTGCTTCCAGTATCGACGTTGTATCGACGATTAAGCAGTCTTTCTCTACAGACGTCGCCACTTACTTCCACAAATATCACTCTAAAATATTTCATTCTGTGTACTGAAAAGTATCTCGTCGATATTTCCTTCGTTTGATTTTACCTGTTTGGAGGGGTGGCTATCAAATCTAATAATTGAAAATCTTCCACTGTTTTCGGGTATCCAGTTAGCACCCATCCTCTCTTCAAACACTCGTAGCCAGATATATGTTTCTAAAAACCGTAACACTGTGCAAATAGATTCTACAGCAGTAGTTCTAGCTTTTGTACTTCGACAATTTTGATCCTGATCTCAGGCTTCGGCCTTTCGCCCCATTTCTCCTCGAACAATCGAAGCATCTCCCCCAAAGGATTCTGCTGCAATCGCGTCTGTTCCGCGATGTAATCGTAATCGACTGAAATAAACGACAGATCTTACTGTAGTAATTGGCGGTAGGTAAAACAATCAGATCGAGATTACTATGAACAAGATTGAATCTTTCGGCCAAGTATTGTGCCAATGTGGTACAACCAGATCCTCTAGATCCAATGAGCGCAATGCGCAAAAGCGACGGTGCTCCACAAAGTTTCCTCATTTTTGCTAGTTTCGCGCAATCTTTTCCAAGCTCGTCGATGGATCTGATCCCTACTTCGACTTCCTTGAAATCATTTTTCTCTTACTTTCCCTTCGATAAATTCCAATTCAATTACGCAGATCAATTGTTGTAAAAGCTGGACTAACGATTAAAGCGTGTGCATACGCTTCCCGCAATCCTTGTAGATTTTTCAAGTATCTACGAGTCCTTGGATCTTTCGACTCGTTTATCTGATTAGAAGTTTGGTTACAAGCGACGTCTGTGAAAATGTTTTGCCAGTTTTCTGAAAACGACACCCGTGAGAATTCGTCCAATTGAACTATTCGTCTAAACTTTTTTACCAGGTTCGTTCGAAACTACAAGCTGTATCACGTGCGTCGGTATTATTCCTATACGCTGGAATATTCGTGCTTCCTTCTTTGTTCTCGGTAAATCTACGCGATAAATAAGAAATCTGGAAGAAATTTCAAAGGCATATCTTTCTTCGAGGTATCTTTACCAACGAGTAGCCATCCGCTTTCGTGTAAGATTCCACTTTCCAAAATCGTTCTCATTGTGGACGCGAGATCCTCCGATTCCTCGCAACGACAAGCTTCGTCCTAACGAAGAAAATTCATTTACAGAGACACCGAAGAAACAACGATTTCCCACATTTTTCGCTTACATCTGACTGGGAAAATGCATCGCGAAGATTTCTCAAGGATAACGGGTGCACGCCCAATTCTTCCTGGAGAACTTTGGCTAAGGCCATTCTATCTGCACGTATGAAATATATTCGTTCAATGTTAAATGTCTGGAAAACGTCAACTTTTTTCTCGTTATTCTACCAAAGCCTGGAGGTGCAATAAGAATGATCTTGGGAATGTCCAGTCTTTTTTTGGCCAATTCGAGATACTGTTTCATAAATACAACTGGGTCGTCCGGCCTTTTAAGCACCAATTGAGTAGCAATTTCCTGTACATGTTTTTTTAGAGACGCGTATAAAGCTATATTATAAAATTATTAGGAGTATTTATGAAATGTAGGTTATTTACGTGGAATAATTCATATATCCGATGTTTCTCCAGATACGCCATAAATTGCGCGTTAAGGGTACGCGTTCTTCTCTCTGCTTCCTGTCCTGCCATGTTTTATGTTAAAATATTCCCATTTGAAAAATATTTTTATATTTTATTTATCAATTCTCCGCCTATTCTTTATCACGTTCAACGTATCTACTTCAATTGTTTCATTTTTAATTGTGTACTATTTAAATATTATACATATGTACACGGTACTTGAAATTATAGTTTGCATATTTAAAGAGTAACGCGATATCTATAATTTACAAAGTACTTAAATTCTTTCCTTTAGAATGTTACGTAAAATACAGATTGATCCCTCTTTAGTTTTTCCAATAAATATCACATCTGCATTTATAAATTACTGCAGTATGCTAAGGTATGCGGAAGATTGGGTGGCGCCACGTGTTTTAATGCTTGCTGCTAGACACTGTCGAGAAAGTGTGGAACATTGAGGTTAGATAACCAGGTGCACGTTTCAGTATGTCAACCGATAAGAAGGTATCAGATGTCACGAAAAATATATCCGAAATGGGGGTGCAGGAAACAGGGAAGAAGCTGACACATAAGGAAAAGAAAAAATTGAAGAAACAGCTAGAATATGAGAGAACGATAGAAATGTTAACGAAAACCGGTGGTCAGGGTCATAGTGAACTCGAAAGTAATTTCACTGTTTCGCAGAGTCAGAGTCTGCAACGCGGTAATCAGCAATTAGAAAATGCGGTTGATATCAAGGTGGAAAATTTTAGCATTGCTGCCAAAGGAAAGGAACTTTTTACCAATGCCAGCCTGTTAATTGCGCAGGGCAGACGTTACGGTTTGGTAGGACCGAACGGGTACGTACTTCTCAGTTGTCCAATCAATGAAATACCGTTCTGGCACTTTGCAATTTTTCCGTTTCTCTCTTCAGTCATGGAAAAACTACTTTACTTCGTCATATTGCAAAAAGAGCCTTCACCATTCCACCTAACATTGATGTTTTGTACTGTGAACAAGAGGTAATTGCTGATGACACTCCAGCTGTGGAAGTAGTACTTAATGCAGATGTGAAATATAAAGAATTAATGTCAGAGTGCAAGAAATTAGAAGAATTGACAGAACAGGGAGATACTTCTGTTCAAAGTAGATTACAAGAGGTAATTTCTTATTGTGTCGAATGTAAATTTGAATATTATATTTTAGTAATATGTGCCCCATAGGTTTATGACGAATTGAAAATTATCGGTGCTGATTCTATAGAACCACGTGCTAGGAGAATCCTTGCTGGTCTTGGATTTAATCGTGCAATGCAAGACCGTGCCACAAAGAATTTTTCTGGTGGATGGCGAATGCGTGTTTCTCTTGCTAGAGCTCTTTTCTTAGAACCTACATTGCTATTGCTTGATGAACCTACAAATCATTTGGATTTAAATGCTGTCATTTGGTTGGATAACTATCTTCAAGCTTGGAAGAAAACTTTACTTATTGTTTCTCATGACCAGAGTTTCTTGGATAATGTGTGCACAGACATAATTCACTTGGACCAACAAAAATTGTTTTACTACAAGGGCAACTATAGTATGTTCAAAAAAATGTACGAACAGAAGAAAAAAGAAATGATTAAAGCATACGAGAAGCAAGAAAAACGACTTAAAGAAATGAAGGCTTCTGGTCAAAGTAAAAAGCAAGCTGAGAAAAAGCAGAAAGAAGTTTTAACTAGAAAGCAAGAAAAGAATAGAACAAAAATGCAGAAACAAGAAGATGAGAATGCACCTGCAGAATTGCTGCAAAAACCTAGAGATTATTTAGTGAAATTTAGTTTTCCTGATCCACCTCCATTACAGCCACCAATTCTTGGTCTTCATAGTATGTTACTAATATTGTATTGTATTTTTTTACTGTCGTAAAAAGAAAAAAAAATTACTTAAAAAGATCGATAATTCATTTCAGATGTGTCATTTGCATACCAAGGACAAAAACAATTATTTATCGATGTGGATTTTGGGATAGACTTAAGTTCCCGAATAGCTATAGTAGGACCGAATGGCGTTGGAAAATCTACATTTTTAAAGTTATTAACTGGTGACTTACAACCGCTTAAAGGGGATTTAATAAAGAATCATCGATTGGTAAGTAGAAGTCGAAATTCATTTCGCTGTTTGAATGATAAACCTATGTACTTAAATGATGTTTTATGGCTCTTAGAGGATAGGTAAGTTCGACCAGCATTCTGGCGAACATCTAACCGCTGAAGAAACACCGTCGGAATATCTAATGCGTTTGTTCGATCTCCCGTATGAGAAGGCTAGGAAACAATTGGGAACGTTTGGACTTAGTTCTCATGCGCATACGATTAAAATGAAAGATTTATCAGGAGGTCAAAAGGCACGTGTCGCTTTAGCAGAATTGTGTTTAAATGCACCCGATGTTGTGATTTTAGACGAACCGACGAATAATTTAGATATCGAATCTATCGATGCTCTAGCTGACGGTATCAATGGATATAAAGGAGGAGTTATCATCGTTTCTCACGATGAGCGTTTAATTAGGGACACAGAATGTTGTTTATATGTAATCGAAAATCAACAGATTAACGAAATCGATGGAGATTTCGATGACTATAGGAAAGAATTGCTGGAAAGCTTGGGAGAAGTTATTAACAATCCTAGTATAGCTGCGAATGCCGCTGTTCTACAATGAATATTTTGCCTTTGTAGGAGAATTATTTTTTCAGTGGCCTGCAAAATCGATGCCTTCAGACTTAATATATCGAATGCTTTTTTCGTATTGGCTTCTTTCCCATAAAATCATCGAGTTTCTCATTATCGGCTTTAAAATAGAATTACTCTGTGCTTTGAATGCGAAATGTTTATTTGATTTGCGCTTTCGAGGCATTACTAGTTCAACATCATGTCTGATAGGGCGGAAAATATTGTTAAATTGTAATGATATGAATTTTAAACGTGAACTATAATTGTCGTACACATGGAAAATTGAAAGACGCTATTATTTTCTAATAGAAGTTTTGCTGTCGACTATAACATTCGCATATTCTACCCCTTTGAATTTTACTTGTGCGACAATTGTAATTCCATTGCACTAATTGCATACACCAATCGAGTCTTCGAAGAAATATTTATATACATATGTATAATTAAGTTCTATACAGAACTGTATTTTGTATTATAAATATTTACTTCATGTTTGAATGAAAGAAAAAAGAAGAAAAAATAAAAATAATTTACGGATTGATCTCTACTTAAATAATATGTACATACATGAACTTTGTATCAAAATGAGAATATATACAGTTACCTATTGATGTTACGTGTTTAGAAGATGAAATGATTTTCCTTGAAAGATTCGAAAAACTTTCTCTTATCGTAATCTGTGCTAGTGATTTCCAAGAAATTAAAAGAGAGTTGGTTCTACTGAAATGCGTATAACCGGCGGCGCAATGTTCGCTGCCAAAAGGGGCAGACGAGTGATGTGAAAATTGTCAAATATTTTTCGCGAGGTGGTGTCCCGCGGTGAATTTGATAGTGTTCCAAAAGACCGTCGCAATGTCCAGTACCCTGGAGAATAAGATTCTGAATTTGCAAGAACGTCTTAGAGCAGAAAATGAATCGAGAGATAGAGACAGACAGGGTAGCGAGGTTGGACCAGGAACGGGCCTTCAATCGTCATCCTCGGGATCTGTCTCGAGTTCTGCCTCACGACGTGAGTTTAATTTAGATACCGTTTGTGAGCGTAATACAATTTTTCCTTGACTTCTTTTCCAAAAATTTTCAATGCAATTGTCGCTTTGCCACTTGTTGTACAGGTTATGTTGATCATCACAATTTATTCTGTTGATTCTATATACGATACTCTTTTAGTCTCCTTATTTAACGCGTAGTTTATTTCTCTCGAGCTGTCCACCAACTAATATTTATACGCGAGGATGTTTTTTTATTTTACTAAACAGGTCGAGTTTCGAAATGAATGGAAACATGTTAAAACGAATCATAAACAAAAACAAAGTACTTTTTTTTTTTTCTAAAGAAAAGATCTCTTTGTGTCGATAAAAATAAATATTCTCTTTTGTTTGAAATATCTTCGTTGATTAATAGCAAAAGCAATTTTGTATGCATAATGGATCATCCTAGATTATTTTACTACCAAAAACATATGTATATATGTTGCAAAGTCTCACAGATACCTCCAAAGAAACAGGATAGTGAATTTGAGTCAAAGCTCCAAGAAATCATGAAGATGAATGGTATTCTAAATATCAATGGTCAGAGGTATCAAACTGAGATGAAAGACTTAGAACATCTAGGTGAATTAGGAAATGGTACCTGTGGTCATGTTGTTAAAATGAGGCATAAACCTAGTGGTGTACTCATTGCTGTAAAACAAATGAGACGTTCTGGTAATGCAGAAGAAAATAAAAGGATAATTATGGATCTTGATGTTGTGTTAAAATCACACGATTGTCCATATATTGTGCAATGTTTGGGATGTTTTATCACAGAATCTGATGTGTGGATTTGTATGGAGTTAATGGCAACTTGTTTAGATAAATTATTAAAAAGAACCAGGCAGGCAATGCCAGAAGAGTTTTTAGGAAAAGTTACAGTAGCAGTAAGTGACATTATGAATGAAAAAAATCATTACCTTATTATTACATTGGAAAGAAACATTAATCAAATAAACAATTACTATTTCTATAGACAGTAAAGGCATTATCTTATTTGAAAGAAAAGCATGGTGTAATTCACAGAGATGTAAAACCTAGTAATATTCTCCTTGATGAAAGGGGAGGAGTTAAATTATGTGACTTTGGTATATCTGGCAGATTAGTTGATAGTAAAGCAAAAACTAGAAGTGCAGGATGTGCTGCTTACATGGCTGTGAGTATACATGTTTTTATTTTTTATTATGCCAAAAGTTGAAACTGTTTTATGTTGCTGTTTTATGTTTATAGCCTGAAAGAATTGATCCTCCAGATCCGACAAAACCAGATTATGATATAAGAGCTGATGTATGGAGTTTGGGTATCACTTTAGTTGAATTAGCTACAGGAGTATTCCCTTACAGAGATTGTAAGACTGATTTTGAGGTAAATCCAAGGAGGAGATAGTGTAGAAATGGTAGTGCTTAATATGTTCATGATAGTTGTTGAACTTACTTAAATTTATAGGTACTGAGCAGAGTAGTACAAGATGACCCTCCCTCCCTTCCATCAGACGCCCTCTTTTCGAAAGAATTTAGAAATTTTGTGAGTTGTTGCCTTACAAAAAATTATAAACATCGCCCGAAATATCACAAACTCATGGAGCATCCTTTTATTCGAAAATACGATGTACCTCAAGATGAAGAAACAAACTCTTCGGTCTTAAATTCTGGCTGCCAATGGTTTGGCAGAGTTATGCGGCAATTAGAACCAAGGTAAACTGTTAGCAACCGTATGCCGATAAGGATTAAAAACTATGGTTTTCAGGCATCGTATAGGATAGTTTTCGATTTACAAAAGTACACACGTGACGTTTAAAGTATGGTAGACATGTGCTGTTAGAAAAGACTATAGATCGTTATATAGAGAGTGAATAAAGTTTTTAAACATAGCATGAAATTCCCAACTAATATCATAATGATTTGGTTTGGTTTGAGAATAACCGGGTATTGTCTTTTTATATTTAGTTTTAAAAAATTTTAACACTTCAGCATTCATGGTTAATGGGTAGGTATTAAAACAGCTCGAAAAATTATGCTGAGTTTTAAAGTTGGGTATTTGTTGGACTAGTCTTTTTTTTACTTATTTATCTTTTATTCATTTTGCCAAACGACATTTACAAACCTGTCCATACATTTCGATTAAAAGTTTGCGTGCGTGTTGAATTGTGTTGCAGCGTTGAGCTTGAGGGAGGCAGCGCAGCATAGCATCCCCTCTCCCTCGCCCCAGCCCCATTCACCATTATCCCTAAAAATTTACCCTTAAACTCCAAAAAACTTAAAAAAAATACACCTCACAATTATCCAAAAATCTGCCCGATTTTCATTTCGAGTTGTTTGGTTTGTGCACGCGCCTGTTACACACCCCACCCTTCAACCCCCACTCATGGTAAGCATTCTTTTTATTTATTTGAATATTCGTTTATTTGTCTTTATATTATGTAGCGATTCGCCGGTGGCACAAATAATTTTTCCCTGTGCACACTCCATTCATCAAGACAATTAGTTCATTTATATTTGTATTTTTATCCTTATTTGATTAAATTAGAAACTATATTAGTAAAGCGTTCTCTAGTTGTTTTTTTTTTTTAGCATGCGATATTTTGATTTTTCAAAAAACACAGATATTCTCTACGATCTATTACCTCGAAAAAAAAAAAAAAAAGAAAAAAAAAGAAAAGAAATTCCTCTACCCTCGTCTGTGTTGCATGATACTATGATTAACGCTCTAACTTCTATTAACCCTCTACAAACTGAAGATTTTTTGCAGAAACATCATGGTACAGAGTTCTCTTAGGTAGTACCAGTGGCATTTTCAGACGAATCAAGCCACATTTTTCGAAGTGAATAAATTCGCGTTCGACGGTATAGAAATATGGGAATTTAATATCGTGGAATTCAGTTTCAGATTGGCAGGGTGGCAGCAGCGAGTTACGGGTCATGTATCTTTAAAACAAACAGCTCATCTCAGGGCTCAATCTGAAGTACCAGCTTTCCTACGAAGCAATGTCACCAAAGACTCACAGAACTCCAGCTTTTTGCCATTTCATCAACGATCAAATAGTGAGAATGGTGCGAACTATGTATCTTATAGTCCATACGCGCTTAGACGAAAGGAAATTTCCAGGCCGTTTTCTCCTCCTTCGTCGAACGATGTCGATACGTCAGAAACGAATTTTCAACGACCATATTCACCGTATAGACAACATGTCGAACAAAATAGGGATTACTCCTCGAATCATTGTTCTACCAATGGACAAGGTAGACAAGAAGGAAGACCGTTCTCTCCTTATCGACAGGATACTAGTACAATAGACGCAGGAAGTAGGCTTTATTCACCGTACCACGGACGGTTCACAGAAGATCGAGATACAAGTAAAGAACGATGGCAAGGTGTCTCTAGATCTTTAAGTCCGTTTGCTCGTGATTATTCACCTTGGAGGAGAGAAAACGTCGATCCTCCTAACGTGATACAACCAACAGAAAGTGGCCGTTATTCTCCGTTTCTTCAACAACGATTAGGACAAACTCCACCTGTGCCTCAAACTCATCCGCAAACGCAAGATATTTATGGTAGTCCTATGGTTAGTCGTAAAAGGTAAATAGTCGACGAGATATTACAATTCGCTGTTAACAAATCGCTGATAATATCGTATATATTATCAATGAATTTCTTTCGAAACAGGTTTCCCTCTGAACCCCCTCCACAAGGATCACACGGTTCTACAAGTCCTGAATTATTAATCTCCCGTTTTGCTCATCAGTTGAAACAAGAACCATCACCTGTTATGCCACCAGTTCAAGGTGGTTCTAAAGAATCTGCCAAGAAGCGTTTCGCTTCTTACGTTCGTCTCAGGCTCGGAAGCGAACGTGCTCCTTCGCCGGAGCCACCGCCGAGATTAAGTCGCGGTGAATCTCCTCTTGCACTTAGAAGGAATTTAGTCGATCAAGCGTCTCCTTCTTTCGCACGAAGGTACCGCCATTTTATTCACATTAAATATATACGTGTACGCTGTAAAATGGTAGTAATTTTGTAAATTTTATTCTTATTTCTTTCTTTTTTCCCCTTTGTTGCTTCTTTTTCGGTAAGGTACGTTTCATCTTCTCCACCACAACCTCCACCAAGAAGATTGTCGGAAAGCAGTTCCGTACCCGGTAGCCCTCAGCACGTCCGAGCTCGATTACGTTACACCCCAGAACCTCAGAGGAGACCTCCGCCACCATAACCCACCGTTACGATTAAATCATATTCCTTGTTGGTGCCATATGCGATAAAAGTAACTGAATTAATCACATGTACCACGTAGAATGGTGTTATAATCAACGATGGTTGGTGCACATAAATGATCTGTGCACGGTGTACTTGAAAACAGTTCTAAACCAAAAAATAGTTGTTTGTAATACTCGGTGATACCGTGAATTCTAATGTACGTATTTTAAAGAAAAAGACTCCGGATACGTACTATGTACGATATTATTATCGAACATCGAGAATTGTTCGCAAAGCACGAAGAAAAAAAAATGAAAAAAAAAAAAAAAAGAAGGGTTAGACTCCTAGATTCGAGTGGACGGTCTTTGGGATTAATTTTTCGCACGATTTTCGTGGCTGTAACGTACCGCGTTGAACTACTTTGTCAATAACTCTCTTATCGACGTGTATTTATATAGGATGCAATCACTGATGCAATACGATGCTCAACTTTTTATATTGCTTGTAAAGATATAAATAAATGTAGTATGTTCGACGTTTTTTCTAAAAAAACAAAAAGAAAAGAAAAGAAAAGGAGACAAAAAAGGAAAAGAAGAGAAAAAGGAACAGAAAAGTGGCAGGAAAAAAAAAAAGAAAAGGTAAAAGAGAAGAGGAAATCCGTTATTAGGAGATGCGGCATCGTACTGAACGCGTAAACCGTTCCTATCATTCTTCGTTTACGCTTCTTTTCTTATCGAGGGACGAGCGAGAGTATGTGAAACCAAACTCGCGAAGCGGTTCTCTCTTCCTCGGGCGGCCTTGCAGTATCTCTCTGCAACTCGATTTAGTAATGGCGTCATTCTTCACGTTTCATTATCGTTTGTAAAATAATACCAAACGCATACGGCGATCACAGTCACAGGATCGATCGAGTGAAAACCAAATCGTAAGAACTTATTAACGACGTCTCCGTAAGGAAAGCACAATATTCACGTCTCCTAGATTCTACGAGTTTCAAACAAATGTATATTATTTAAATAAGAGGCGTGTTTGGGCTAGAACGTTGTAATTATTATTTTTAATTAACATTTATTCATTAACTTTGTTCAGTCTACACTCGTAATCACCTTTGTCGCTTATTTGACAAAAGGATCTGTTGCAATGTAAATAAACTTATATTTATACGACACCGTTGCCTTATTCTATTTATTTTTTATTCGAACTGGTCAATTTTTGGAATTGCTTTCAGTTCGTTCAATAGTATCTATAATTGTCTATCTCGTGGTTGGCGCTGTTATTTATTAGTTACAATGTATTTTTATCGTGTACTGCCACGTAACGCTGAGCAATTTCTTTTTGTCGGACGCTCATGCGCGATGCTATTATAGTATCGTAATGGTTTCGGTTAGTAGCATCAATTTCGCTTTTTCTTCACGGATACTAGACAAAGTATACGAGATATACTAGCGTCCATATTTGAAAGGTCAATTACACGTGCACCGTTGTTTCACATGAATACGAATCTTGATTCGTAGTCGGTCGTAAAACGCATACCATACGATACAATGGCTCTTGCCTTCTTCATGTAAATGCATAGTATGAAAACGAGGACGATGAATTTTTACGCGCGCTAAAGAATTCTGCTGTTCCACGTAAAATCGTGTAAATAGTATAAATTCGTTTTTAATTTCTTTTATAAATTTCTAGATTGCCGATGAACGAAGTTTAAATAAACAGCAGAATCGGCATAAAATATTTTTCTCGTCTAACTGAGAATAGTGAATTACAGAAAAATTCATTATCTTTTTTGTTTTCAATGTGTAGGTGCATAGTCTTTACGATCGTGTATCATATAGATATGCATATTCTACATTTCTCGTGTAATTCACACATATTGTCGTTTTTTACAAGGTATATAGCGTATGAAAGATACGGTGAAAGTTTGGAAAATTAGGAGAGAGTAGATAATTTGATAGTAAAAGGGCTCGGTCGAAGATCATTTTAAAAATAAATTCTTCGCTCGAATCGGCCCGTCCCTGAGCAATCAATATGGCCTCCAGGTCTACGCGGGGCACGTTAGCGTAGTGTAGATATTTCTTCGAAAATCTTTGGAACAAATGGTTTCTGTGATAATATAATTAGTCAAGCAGGTGAAAAGTGTACGAACAGATATTTTCATGGTGTTTGCTGGAAAATTAGTAATAGTATTCAGTCAGAAAGATATTTAGAAGGTAATCCACTGCCGTTGTAACTACTTGCACTTTGCGGAAGACATCGTCAACGTTGGTGTACGGTCCAGTAGTTGTTCAACATTTAACGGTTAATTTATCGGTCGGCCAATTGTACGATGAGGTGGCCTTTTAAGAGTAAAGATACATAGTTTTCAGTTAAAATCTATTATTATGTCGGAGAATAAGAGTAAGGAAGATGCCACGATGGAGGGTTGTCAAGAAGGGGGCGAAGAGGAAGGTATGGCTGCCGAGAGGGTCGAAGAGAAGGTCAGTATTCAACAAATTCTCGAGGGTATGACGAATGAATTTAACAAAAGCGTCAGTCCCGTGAAAAGCGGAGAAATTAGCCGAACAGAGAAATCGGATCATGAGGAGATTGAAAAACCGGTAACGATTATCGATGAAATGCCAGCAATTGAAAAAGAATCTGCTCGCGATAAGGACGACGAAGTTGCTTCGACGAAACAAAATATCGTGGAATCGACGTTAACAGAGGAGAATCATAAGGAAGATGAGAGTACTGGAAAACAGGAAAATTTTAAAAAAGATAATGGAATTCCGCGAATCGTCCTTACATTCAGGACTATCGACGAAAATACCGACCATGGTAAAAAAACAAAGATATCAAGCTGTTCTTCCAATCTTACTCTAGTTCCTGATGAATTGGTAAATTGTGATCAAATTGGCGGTGTCTCTGTCAAGATCGAAAACTCTGATGAGAATTCCGACACTGTGGAAAAGTCAGATTCAGAGGAAGGTAAAACAGAAGGACCGGTTAAAGAATCTGAGAGCAAAGAGCCAGAGAAGAGTGCAGAAGAGGCAAAATCACCAAAGGAAAATGTGGGAGAGACACTGGAGGAGGAAAAAACCACTGCTTCCAATGAAAAAACAAAGACTGATGAAGCTGATACTTCAACAGAGCCTACAGAACAAGCAGATCAAGCAGATGGCACAGCTCCAGTTACAAGGAAAAGAAGAACAGGACGACCTAGATTAAGAGCACTTAGGTTTTTTATTTTCCTTTATATCAGATATGTAAAATATTGCGCACGATATTTGTAAACATTCCATAACATTTTTAGCGATCACACTGAAGAACCTCCAGGTCCTAAACGCTCTGCAAGAAGATTATGTAAAGAAACACTGAAGAGTACTGTATTAGAAAGTGCAATGGCAAGAAAAGAGAAATCTAATTATACGGAAGAAAATTTACAGTTTAAAAAACAGAGGAAGTACAACAAACCAGGGAGACCTAAAAAGGTGGTTCAAGGGAAAGATCAGAATAAACAGTTGCAAGTTAAACCTCCTGACATACGTCAGGAAGCAGAGGCTTCTATTTCAGATGGAAACATCACTATTACCGAGGTAAACTCAACATTAGATTGTTCTAGAAATATTACCATATTAGAGAATAGTGCAAATGAAACAGTCCTGGATGAATCTCAAAATTTTTCATCCGACTTTGATGGTATGCCAAAATTATCTCCTATGATTAAAAGCTCAGAGTCACAAATAAAACTGAGCAATTCAATTAGTAGTCCCACAAGCGATGATATACCTTTAGCAGATATAGAAAAGCCATTTCTAAAGCCTGCTACTGGTAGACCTAAGAGAGAAAGGGGAAGACCTAGGGGAAGTCAAGCTGCAAGAAAAATAGCAAAGGCAGATTCATTTGAAGGTACAAGAAAAGGTGTGAAAACTGCACACATACAAAATATGCAGATTTTGAGTTGTAATATATATTATATATTTTCAGATGGATCTGTATCAGTGGCAGAAACAGGCAAGAACAATGATTACCCAGAAGGTAATGTTTCACACCATTTATAAAACAGATACAGTCTACACAGGTACACTGTACGAAATAAATATTTTCGTTTCATAGAAGGCACTGTACCTGCTAAAAGAACAAGGAGAAGCATGGCTCCAAGTCCAAGTCCTGCCGAAGGGCAAGCTTCAAAACCAGAGTCAACAGCCATTATGAGTGAAGTTGGTATAATTACACATGTACGCTTATTATTTATTCGTTACTTTTAACACATCTAATACATGAATTATGCTTTACAGACGTATAGTCAATCAATGCTATGCTTATGCCAAGTAAGATCTCAGCTGTATGTAACAATAACTGGTTCTGGGGCACCGTTATATTGTACCGCAATAGATTCTATCGACAATAGGTTAGTAGGATGTTGCAACGAAGTCGATAGCAACGATGTAGCGATGAGAAGACCCAGTACTCGTGTTCCTTTTATCATTTTATGTCGAATGCACAAAGAAAGGCTTTTAAGGCATAATTGTTGCCCTTCGTGCGGGCTGTTTTGTTCACAAGGAAGATTTGTGCAATGTATCAACGGTCATCAGTATCATCGAGAATGTGAAATTTATCCGAATAAAAAAGGAGTATGTCCACACTGTGGAAACGAAAGTACGGTATATGATGTAATGGTCACCATGGGTGGCTTAAGGAAACCTGTATTCATTCCAACTCGTAAGAAATTTTCGAAACTGCCTTCTGCAAAGATGAGTTTACCAGGGAAAGGTGACAATACGAAACTAGCCGAGCGTCCTCCTAGTCCTTTGATTCAGGCGGACATCATTAAAATACCCGAGCCGTCTGTTAATTCGGAGAGACCTGAACGTTACACTATCATGAGTCTTTACACGTCCGTGAAAAACGGGGATTTAGAAAAATTAGTTAATGTTTTAGGTACGTTGTTGTGCCAGTTCTGTTTCAAGTCTGTGAGAAGCGATTTTTAAATAATCTGTATGTTGTAGCATGTGGATATAATGCAAATCATACATTCCGAGATTATGTTCATCGAACTGGCCTTCATATAGCCGCGGATAAAGGTCACTTATCTTGTGTACATGTGTTAGTACAAGCTGGGGCTCAATTGGACGTAATGGATAGAAATCAATTAACACCTTTAATGTTAGCTGCTAGCAAGGGTAAAGCTGATGTGGTAAAATACTTGATCAGGATAGGTGCTGATGTTACGTTGAAAGGTGAAGATGGTATGACCGCTTTGCACATGGCTGCAAAATCCGGTCATTTAGAAGTCTGTAGAATTATTTTAACCGAATGCAAAGCGCCGAGAACTTTAGTAGGTAATTAAAATTTTACTCAAATATCGTTACGTTGCTCTAATTGATTTAATATTATCTATAACAACGATTACTTATGATTTATTTAGATTCTGTGGACGATGGTGGATGGACTAGTTTAATATGGGCTTGCGAATTTTGTCATACCGACGTGGCACGATTTTTGTTAGACAAAAAGTGCGATCCTCTGATTCGAGATGCGGAGCAAAATATAGCGTTACATTGGAGTGCTTTTAGCGGAAGTTCAGAAATTACAGAAATGCTGCTTAACGAAGGTTGCGACGTGAATGCAGTCAACGTTCATGGCGATACACCTTTGTAAGTATTTCTTTCGAGACTTGGTACTTGTTTGGAAATAACGAAGTCTTTTCTATAATATGTAATGGCGTTATAGGCATATAGCTGCGAGGCAAGATCAGTATGCGGTTAGCGTTCTTTTATTAGCTCGCGGTGCTAAGATAGGAGAAGTGAACGCTGCGGGAGAAACGGCGGTAAATTGTTGTACGAACGATGGCGACACAATGTCTGCGTTAAGATTAAATGCCAAAGTGAACGAACTTTCTGAACATATGTGGGAGAAAACAGTAAAAATATTAACAAAGTGACTATCAGATTTCATGTATCTTTGTCTCCAATCGAAATTAAACTTAAGAAAATACATTGAACGATTCATTCTTACAGTGATATTTCACGTGGTAAGGAAACGAATCCGATACAATGTGTTAATGGGTATGATTCGGAAGATAAACCAACAGATTTTTTGTACGTGACTGAGAACTGTTTTACTAGTAATATTAATGTTGACCGTACGATAACGTCTTTACAGTCTTGTCGATGCGAAGATAATTGTAATTCAGAAAAGTGTTTGTGCGGAAATATAAGTTTGAGATGTTGGTATGACGAAGAGGGGAAATTAATCCCTGAATTTAATTATGCAGGTAAATATTCCAACGATAATTCCGATATATCTTTGAGATCTTTGTATTACTAAGATCGTACGTTTTTCAATTTAGATCCTCCGATGCTATTCGAGTGCAATCCAGCGTGCGATTGCAATCGTATAACGTGTAACAATCGCGTTGTTCAACATGGTCTGACACAAAGGTTTCAATTGTTTCGAACGAAAGGTAAAGGATGGGGCCTTAGAACGTTACGACATATTCCCAAAGGTTCGTACGTTTGCGAATATGTCGGCGAGATCATCTCGGATTCTGAAGCGGATCATCGGGAAGATGATTCTTATTTGTTCGATTTAGACAACAGAGTGAGTACGAAACAGCTTGTTGGAATTAATGGAAGATTGAATAAGAAAGGAGAAAACGAAGATTATGTTTATTCTCTTTCTCTTTGTCTCTTTTTTATCACACGTACAGGACGGAGAGACATATTGTATCGACGCGAGACGTTACGGAAATATTGCTCGTTTTATAAATCATTCTTGCGCACCAAATCTCTTGCCAGTGCGAGTGTTTGTTGAGCATCAGGATTTGCACTTTCCTAGGATAGCATTTTTCGCGAACCGCGACATCGAGGCAGATGAAGAGCTCGGGTATGTTGAAAACAAACGATTGGCACGTGGAAATCACAACACATGTACATATTAGTAAAAAAAAGAAAACGGCGTTTCATGCTATTTCCTTTTTGGTTAATAAACCACTTCTTGTTTGGTTTTGGTTGGCTAATCGTTATCCGCTGGTAATTTTACTTTTCTTCGCCTTTACTCTTTCTTCAAAGTTTGCTTTTGCGCTCTCTCCGAATATGTGAGCTTAATATTGTTTCCGTATCTTAAAATAGACAAACTGACATATCGAGTACGATATTTATTACCTTATTTTCCTTTTCTCTCACTGATTTAGAGGATGGTAAGTTTTTTTGGTATACGCATTTATAGTTCCACGAAGAAGAGCGTACCTATATATAGAAAAAACAGAAAATAGTCCACCACTATGAGAACGTTCGAAAATCTCACGAGGAAATATATCATATTTTTCCCTGTTATTCTTGAACATCGATTTTCATTAATGCAATGTATTTCTCGCCGAAGATCAACACGGAATTGTTTGCCTTCAGCTTCGATTACGGAGAGAAATTCTGGATAATAAAATGCAAGTCGTTCACGTGTACCTGTGGAGCCGAAAACTGCCGATATTCCGAGAAGACTATACAAGTTACTTTGGACAACTACCGCAGAAAAATACAGCAAGAAGAAATGCTGGCAGCTCAATCGTCGTAATCCCCCAAAAAACAATCTAGCAAATTTTACGCACTTATTTTAGGTATTATTCTAATGTTTTTCCTTCTTATTACTCGGAGAGTGTTAAATAGAGAATCTCCAAGATTTTTCTTTTATTTTCTTTCGAACGATCTTCGTAAAACGGATCGTGAAAAAACAAAAAAAAAAAAAGTACAAGTACAAATGGTGATGGGATTCGGGTAGACGGGACGTAGCAAAGTAATTCGAAAGTAATACTTTGCTATTCGAGCTAAGAAGGAACTACGTTTTTCTTATTCCAGTTCGTGCAAGTCGAACGTGTGTCCATGTTAATTTACTCAACTTGACCGTAACTTTCCTATTTTTGCCGATTCTCTCCTGAAAAATAGACTTCACGAGATGTGCCACTTTATAACTCGTTTTTTTTTTTTTCTTCCTTTAGTCAAACTGATATATTCGTAATATATAATTGTTACATAGTTCTCGTACGTAATGTACGAACTGTAAAGGAATGTGTGTTGTTCATAATTGCTGTAGTTTTGCGATGGAAGCGCGTGATTAGATAAAAGAAATAAACTACTGGTTGATATACGTCATGAATGCAGTACGTTCGAAGTTCGTAACAGATCTTCGCATCACGATCGTAGTTACGAATTCGATATTTGCTTATTCAGTTTTAGAGGGTGATTGTTTACAAATGTTCGTCTCATCGCGAACAGTTTAAAGAATAAGATTACACCTTTTTGTACAAATTATTGATTTTTTGTATAATAAAAGAAATGTAGTTCTTTTTAACACGTGCCCCTGTTACTTTCGATATACCATGATTCTAGGAATAGTAGTCAACTCGAACGTTGAACTTGGAACGATAAAAGAATTTTGCTGCGATTGCGATGAAAAAAGTTACAATAGCTGCTTTGAAATAATCCAATAGATGGCACTGGAGGTTAGTTTCGCTAAAATAGATTTGCGAAAATAAATTTTTCTTAACGAGAGGCATATGGCGCAGAAAAGTAAGCTAAGAGATTATTAAAACGAGTTTATTTCGTATACAGAAATGAATTATAAAATTATTCACTTATTTCTGCTGTTAAATCGCTACAGATTAGTTTTCGCTTTTATTGCGCATTTACAGAACAGACGAATGTAAATTCAAACGTCGAGAAGATTTATTAATTACTTGTTCGAAAAACATAGGCTTTGAATTTTAACGGAAAGATTTTGTAGGATGAGAATTCAAACTTCCCTTTGGTTAAGTGTATCCCTATTTTATCGACTTGCTGTTTTACAGCGCAACAATCTTCGAATGCTTTAGAAACCTAAGCCTTCTAACGAAATACTATTCTGGAGTACGACGAACAAATCCCTTATTATTTTCGACGTATACAATTACGTATACTTCAGATCTTGCTTAAAATACAAGAATTTAACGTGTTTTCCTTGCAAACCTCTTTATATTCGATGAATTATTAATATTTCAAAGTGCTTGCCTTAATCGTACTAACCGCCTCCGTTTAAATAATTCAGCTCGGTATATCGTACTACTCAAATATTTGAAACATACCTTTTGAATTCAGCTGAACGTGTTATTCCACTCTTGATTATCCTTTAGAAGATTCTGTCTCGTTGGATTAGGTCTTTGTACTCCAATTCTTCCACTTTAGTTTTGCACTGCGTCTCCCTCCGTTTCACCTTTCTACTTTATTCTTGTACACCCACAAGCACTTTTTGAATTTCACAAGAATATCACTGTTTTAAGCATTGCACGAATGCGTATTCTTTCGTTTAAACGTTAGTATTCCACTAAATATCGTAAGCATCTTATTTTCAAATCTGGTATAAATTCCACGCGAAAACAAAACTTTCGCGACCGACGTGGTGTAAGCTTTACGAATCCGAACGATAGACTGTTCTTCAAAAACCGATGTTAATGGAGGGAAATTTGAAATTTGCTTGTAAATGTTCGTAAATGATCGCAAAAACATTTGGTCGCAGAAGGTTCGCGCGTTGATTGGTGGAAGAGGATTGAGCTGCGCAAGTCGACGGTGATTGGTTGCGACGGAGACGGCGGCCGGGGTAGTCGAAATTCAAGCGAAGAAGCGGCAGTTAGTGTAGCGACCGTCAAGCGCTTGCCAGCGCTATACGTAGCTGCGTAGAATCATAGTGTATATTTTTTTGTTTTTATTTGCCTTGCGCGTTCGCGGGGCATACTTGTCGTCGTCACGTTGTCCTTCGTTTCAGTTTATATCGCGGTCTGTGTGTGAGTCAGGATCACGTTATTTGGTCGCGACGCGGGACAGGGGGGTCGAGTATCATCTACGATGACATATTTCGGCGTCTCCGTGACACGTTCTGTGACAGTGAATTAGTGGTGGTGAACATCATCGAGCAGCGATTACTATGATGACCAGCTGACGGATAGATTCCTCTTCCACGTCCCTACGGCGTCAACGGGGTTGCCAAAGATACTGGAAGGTCAGTCTCTCGTTTCTATTCGAAACTACGACTTTTTGCGTATAACGTAGGTTTTCTATTTACTTCGAGGAATCTGTCGTAATTACAATAGATTCTCTATTGTAGCCTATTGCTCTATTGCTTGTGTACTTTTTTCTGTACAAGTTTCAAAACAATCTGTTTCGACGTGTGTACATGCCAGTCGGTCATAAAAAAAAAATGGCTGTATTGGCGCGTACATGGTAGGATGTAAATACAGGTGGCCGCTAGAGTTCTTGGAATTCAGTCCCCGTATTACTTTCGAGGAACTTGAGAAGGTTTTTTTTTGAAATAACATTTCGAAGGCACGTTTGTTGACTCGGTTGAACATTACCGCGTACCAAGGACTAAGGCATTTTCAGCACAAATTCCTTATTGCGTTCCTCTAGACAATATTCGTTATACACTGACGTAGCAAAAAATTGATCACTGTGGAATTGTACGTTTTTTTCCAACAGTACGAGAAACTTTTAGCACAATCCATCATCCGTTATTTTCGTTCCTTGTTTCCTGCAAACCGTTAATTTTTTATTTCACTGTATAATTTACGAAATGTCTTCCTGATAAATAGTCAAACTTATCTGAATACAACGTATATCATTCTACGCGGCGTAGTGTAAGATAGAATAGAATTAAAGTCAAATAATTTTGTTTCTCTTCTTCTTAACGGCTTTATTCAACACTTTCTACACATTTTTTACATTCTACGTACTTTCTAAGATATTCCTATGCATCTGATGCAAAGCATAGGAAATTTTAAAAGACATTCCAAAGGATACTTGGAATAATCGAACGTTAATCATCGTTCGAACAATCGGAATTTTACTATAGACATCCTAGTTAGCCTATATCACCCGGAACTCGTTTTTTGATTGACAAAATTTTGTCATGGAAACGCGTCGCGTTTTATATTCGCTTCTCTCGGCACCTGTATCTCTTCCATTCGCAGTAAAGTTCGAAATTTTTCGCACGGTTGCACCGTTCTGTCTCTCTCACTTTCTGTGTGTGTGTGTGTGTCCCTTTCTTTCTCTCTCTTACGAACGATGACTCGCGTACGAAATTATTTAGTCGAAAGCTGCCCTACCGGTCGGACAATGTTCCCCCTGTGTCTTTTGTCGTTCGTCGCGCGCGTGCAACAAACAGTTTCGCACGCCATTCGTCGAGGGTTAATATCTGAAAGGTGAAAAGTGGAGACAGCGTTGGAAAAAAGAAGAGGGTGAAGAAACGAGCAACGTAGCGAGACACGCGACAGATTAGCCGAAATTAAAAGCTCGTTCGGTAAAATCGAGTTCACCTCGTGAATATTAATACAATTCGATTTTATCGACGTTCCCCTATGTTGACGAGTAGCATTTTAATTCGCCACCATAGAGTCGATTCAAACTTGGTACGAGGAATCACGGTAGTTTGAATTTTCTCGATACGCTTGGTCGTTCTTGGAACTTTTTTTTCTCTCTCCGAGCTTGGAGATACGAATCGAGGATTTCTTGGTGGAATTACCAGTTGGGGAGAAAGCTAATTCATGCCCCATAAAAGCGAAACGACTCTCGCGAGTCGATTCGTATCCCTCGCAGGAGAGAAAAAAAGGATCACTTTGAATTAAAGGTGAGGACGGCTGCTTGCCGAGAGGCTTAACAGGAGGGTGAATTTTCTTGAAATTCTGCTTACGAAGATAGTTAATTATCCCGACTACCGCCCTTGAGTAATCTGTAAATTGCTGAAATTGTAATTTTCTTTTTTACCTACAGAGTTTCTTTAGTAATGTTCGTCATGGAAATTCTAGGCTGTCATAATTATCGACGAAAGATCGATTCCCTTGGTTTAAACGAGGCAGAAATTTTTTAATCGCGCTCGCATCTTTTGTACGCTTCGGCTCGATACTTTCTTCCTTCTTCGGGTAGGATATTTAAATCGGTACGTTACAAAAGAAGTTTCAACGCCGCGTTATCGACGGAAGCTTATTCTACTAATGAAATTTCCGCCTAGTTTTGAAATTGGCTATGAAAAGTATTCCCTTTACGATCTAACAAAGGAAGCGCGGATTTCTATGGGAAATATGCCCAGTTATAACCCAGCTTCTACCCGTGCCACTGTATTCAATGTCGAATCTACAATTTCCACGCGTTAATTCATTCTTTTTCATCCGATTTCTGATTAAATCCACAACGCGTATCTCTCTCCTTCCTCTGTTCCCTCTGAATAAATCACTGGACAAAGCTCCGCGCTGCGAATAATGGAAAACAAAATTGAACAAACTTGACACAAAATCGTGAACTTTTTTTGCAAATAGTTTTTCACATAGCGTTACCGTAGATGGAACGAAAGGTGATAAACGTCGAAGCTACCTTGTAGCGATGTTTCAGAAGAGTTAACGAGATTTTTTTGCGTACACTTTAGAGTCTGGAGAGTCGTGCGTTAAAAGGACCACCTGGCAGTGTTTCGATTCTTATATTTTCCACAGAGGGAAATACCAAACCTTAATACCAAACCTACGTGACATCTCGAAAATGGAATATTTACATGATGTTTT